GGTGCAGAGGGATAGCGGTTGTAGTGGGTGCTGGCACTTGAGATTTTTCACTATACTTGTCTCTCTAGGCTTACTACCTCACTCATTTCAAACAGAAACAAAATGTATTAATGAATCACAGAGATTTTTTTATTTGTTAAAATCACTCGCAAGTCCCGGCTTGTCGTATGCAGAATCAATAAATATATGGCATAATGATGGTGATCTGGATACACTAGATCTCGCAGGTGCAGTCTGTACTGTGTAGATAATGACCAGACTATGTGATATATTGTATTCCTGGTGTCTAGGAGTAAACATTAAAACCTCAGTCAGGGCAGGAAGCCTATCTGGTAACACTGAATACCTGGGCTATACATATATATATATATATAACATGAAATACCACAACTACCACAAAAACAGTCCTAAGAAGCTGGGCGCACTCTCTAGCAGATATTCCTGTAAAACCAGTTATTTCACTGTTACTTTCACTCTCGTTTTAAAACAAACACTGCATTGCTTTATTCACTAGAAAGGGAATTATTGATTTAAAAAGCAGATTTACTAAATTTATACAAAAAACAAAAACCAAACTGAGAAAACAGAAGAATTGATTTTTTTCAGTTCATATTGTTGACAAAAGTTATCAAATTAATTTTCCAGTTTACTACAATTCACTGCTTAGTAATTTAACCCATTTACACCACGCTGGGTGGGCTTGCTACCTAACACCTTCCTCTGAAGATAAAATGCGCTTTACTGACATTACAGGTAAATATTCAGACTAAACAATGTAGCATTTCTAAGGCAGTGTGTGATATGAGGGCGAAACTCACCTGTTAGAACAACAATGCAGAGCATATAGGGGACAGTGGCTGGAGATATAAACAATGTAGCATTGCTAAGGCAGTGTGTGATATGAGGCGAGACTCACCTGTTAGGACAACAATGCAGAGCATATAGGGGACAGTGGCTGGAGATATAAACAATGTAGCATTGCTAAGGCAGTGTGTGATATGAGGCGAGACTCACCTGTTAGGACAACAATGCAGAGCATATAGGGGACAGTGGCTGAAGATATTGGGAAGACCATCTTCAGTAAAGTGAGACACAACCTGCTCTCTGCTAATACAAGCTAAAAGTAAAATCAGCTCAGTTCTCTGAGATTTTCAGCATGTGACTAGAAGTTGCAGGGATTTTTGTCTTGGGGATTTCCAGCTGTTTTAAGTTCAAGAACTCGCCCCAATGTCTTGTGATGAGTACCTGCCCTTACCTACTCTCACTGCACCCACTACACACACATATATTCTTGAAAACATAAAACATTCTGATTGGTATGTATATTTTGTGCATTTATCTTAATAAAAACAAAAATTGCAAAAATAATTAATAAATAATAAACATGTTCAGTTAACAGTAGATTTGTGTAGAAATAGTTTATTTTTTCAAAATGGTAAACGTACAGAATATCGGTAAATTATCGGCTATCGGCCTGAAAGATCACAGATTATCGGTATCGGCTCTAATGCATCTTGGACGTAAAAACCCAAGGGCAGAGTACAGAATATTTTGATACAGCCCCTATCCCACTGCACCCACTAACTACTTCTGCATCAACATATGAGGAAAGGGATTTAGGGGTGATTATTTCTGATGACTTAAAGGTAGGCAGACAATGTTGTTACGGGAGGAATAACAGGAACAAACCGCAGAAGCCACACATAGAGATATGGACACAAGTCTTCAGGAAGTAAGAGGTCTTTTATTTACACACCGATCGGGTCTCACACTGAACTTCTGTTCAAAAGGTATTAGCCGAGAGCATAGTTTGCACAGGCTATTTATTAACAATAACTCCTCCCATTCATAGCGCCACTCACACATACCCTTAGACTAATCAGTGAACAGGATATTCAGGATCACCTAATATGGGCAGACCGTATGACTCCTTTTAAGGACTAAGGAATGTGACTACAGTTGATGCACATGCTCAGTACATTGAGCTACATGTAACTAACTAACAGATACAACAAACACCTGTACTTGTATATGCCACATGGAGATTTCAAGCCTACTAAATTTTGAACCATGTTGAAATCCCATCACAATGTAATAGAGCAGCAGGAAATGCTAGCAGAATGCTTGGTTATATAGGGAGAGGTATTAGCAGTAGAAAGAGGGAAGTGCTCATGCCATTGTACAGAACACTGGTGAGACCTCACTTGGAGTATTGTACACAGTACTGGAGACCGTATCTTCAGAAGGATATTGATACCTTAGAGAGAGTTCAGAGAAGGGCTACTAAACTGGTTCATGGATTGGGGGATAAAATTTACCAGGAAAGGTTAAATGATCTTAACATGTATAGCTTGGAGGCAGTGGCGTAGCTAGAGCTTTTGCTGCCCGGGGCTGTCCCTGAGTTTGGCACCCCTATCTTGACCCAAATACAAAATATTTTCCATCACAAAATATTTTTTTGTTGAATAAGTTCCAAAACAATTGTCAATTTCATCAATAAAGTGGCAATGTAGAATTATTGGTAAAACTAACAATTGTATTGGCACTTATTGAAGAGGGGATCTCTGAGTGCATGGAGAGAGGGGAACTGTGCGGGGGAGTGAGGGGGGCTATGAGGGTGCAGGGGGAAAAGGGGGTCTGTGAAGGGGGAGGGGGATTTGTGCAGGGGGTCTGTGAGGATGCAGGGAGGGAGGAAGTCTGTGGGTGCATGGAGAGAGGAGGTCTGTGTAGGGAAGGGAGGAGGAGGGGACTGTGAGGGTGCAGGGAGAAAGGGGGTGTAAGGAAACCAAGTGCATTTAAACCTCAATCGGTAGTTTCCCCCCGAACCGACAGAGCCTAGTGAATATAGCCCTCCGTTCGGTAGTTATGGTAAACGAATCCCAATGTAATTCCAATAGTGTCCCTGGATAATTCCCGCAGTAAAACACACGAACTCCCAAACAGCATACGTAGTCAGAAGAAGGGTACAAAGATGAACTAAGGATTTATTGACAGGCATGCTCTTTTTATGGGATTCTGCCCATGCAAGGGAGCCTCCCATATAATTAACTGTACATCCAATCCTAACAATATACATACTGTACATCTCCTCCCCTCAGATAACCATTAAACACAATTTAAACGTAACAGAATTTCCCCAAAGTTTGGATGTACCCCAAGGACTTGCTGTTCTCTGGGGGACCAACATATAAAAAACTCAGTCCATTCGGTTCAGCCGTTCGGGAGATATGGGACTTAGAAGTTTTGACCGACTGCACGGGCAAAGTAGCCGAAAACAGTTCCATGAATTCTGGCCCTGCAGTCGGTCTTAGGTCGCATGAAAAACCTCTTGAACGGCCGGCCATCCAGCTACCATCCTTGGTTCGCTTGATTCCCCATCTGTTAGTAAGTCTTTCTACCGAACGCCCGGTCGTTCGGTAGTTTGGAAGGGGGTTTACCAAAGGTCTGGAGGATTCAGCGGTGTTCGCCTATTCAGTTCCAGACACTCAACGGCAAACACCGCTGTTCGGGAGCTAAAATGGCCGCGAACACGTGGAAGTCCCGAAATGGTGGCGAGACATGACGTTCGTGCAGAACTTCTGTCGAACGTAATCCAGCCAGCAGGGAGGTAAAGTCTGTATAATGGGCAACAGGGTGGTCTTGATTCGGTAGTTTTACCTACTGAATGCCATAGGGAACATTACTATCAAACAAAAGAATACAAATTGTTAATTTACAGCATAAGAGGGGCATTTCTTCACGGGGAATCTGTGCAGGGAGAGAATGGAGAATCTGTGAAGGGAGGGAGAGAGGGGATCTGTGAAGGTGGAGGGGGCTGTGCAGGGAGGGAGAGGGTCTGTAAAGGGAGAGAGAGGGTCTGTGAAGGGACGGGGCTGAGCAGGGAGGGAGAGGGTCTGTGAAAGGAGAGTGGAACTGTGAAGGTAGGGGGGACTGTGCAGGGAGGGAGAGAGGGGATCTGTGAAGGTAGGGGGGCTGTGCAGGGAGGGAGAGGGTCTGTGAAGAAAGTGGGGGCTGTGAAGGCAGGGGGGCTAAGCAGGGAGGGAGAGGGTCTGTGAAGGGAGGAGGGCTGAGCAGGAAGGGAGGGGGCTGAGCAGGGAGGGAGAGGGTCTGTGAAGGGAGGAGGGTTGAGCACAGAGGGAGAGGGGCTGTGAGGGGAGGTGGGCTGAGCAGGGAGGGAGAGGGTCTGTGAAGAGAGAGGGGTTGAGCGGGCAGGGGGAGGGTCTGTGAAGGGAGAGGGGCTGAGCAGGGAGGGAGAGGTGGCTGTGCAGAGAGCATACCTGGCATCTCTCTATCCTCTCTCTCCCAGCACTGGTAGGACAGGAGAGCACAGGTAGACCTCACTTGCCATCCCTCCTGCCCTGCTTATTCCCCTCATACTGAGCACTGCATGGAGGAGACCTGGCAAGCAGAGCAGACTCGCTGACAGGTCTTAATCAGAAGGAGAAATTATTTTTCTGTCTGAAACTTGCCACCCCCCAAAAAGTGCCACCCGGGGTGGGCACCCCCCTTCCCCCCCTTTGCTACACAACTGCTTGGAGGAAATACAAGACAGGGGGGATATGATAGAAACTTTTAAATACATAAAGGTAATCAACACAGTAAAGGAAGATACTATATTTAAAAGAAGAAAAACTACCACAACAAGAGGACATAGTCTTAAATTAGAGGGACAAAGGTTTAAAAATAATATCAGGAAGTATTACTTTACTGAGAGGGTAGTGGATGCATGGAATAGCCTTCAAGCTGAAGTGGTAGAGGTTAACACAGTAAAGGAGTTTAAGCATGCGTGGGATAGGCATAAGGCTATCCTAACTATAAGATAAGGCCAGGGACTAATGAAAGTATTTAGAAAATTGGGCAGACTAGATGAGCCGAATGGTTCTTATCTGCCGTCACATTCTGTTTTTATGTTCTTTTTTTTATAAAGAGGTGAATCTATTTATTGATTTTTTTTTTCTGACAAAGTCCCTCGAGTGCACTCTGTTTGAAGAAATATATTAGACGGTTGGAGATTGCACCAGAGCATCCAGACCAGAATCCATGAGAATTATATATCACTAGAAAATGGGGCAGTCTAGATGGGCCGAATGGTTCTTATCTGCCGTCACATCTATGATTCTGTTTTAATAAGGTTAGTGATAATCCTTTGTCTTGTAGGTCAGGATGATATCTCCAGTATCTTGAGAGGCCATTATTTTCTCATTGTAACATTTCCCAGTTAAGTATTAACATTCCAGCGTGGCCTGGAGCATGAAAGTTGTATTTATCATGTAATGGTTTTATTGGTGGTTAAACTGATGTAATGTTAGATAATTATTACTATGTCGGAATATGAATTATCACATTACATGTGTATGCAAGGAAGCAGAGTGACACAGCCAAAGTCAATCATTCAGATCATTAAATAAAGTCCCACTGCCGGCCAAAGTCAATAATTCATATAATGAAATAAAACCACACTGAACTGAAACAGATAGCTGCTGTTTGAACGCTAAATCAGCCAATAATGGGTGTGCCCTTCTTCCTATATCATGTTTCTTTATTTGTAGATATTTATTTATGTGTTTTGATATTCCTGCCAGCCTTGTGCTCTTTTCTATTCCTGCTGCTCCCTGTCTATACTACTTTCTGTTTATACCGATCCCTCTTGTATTCTTCCTTCCTTGGTTTTACGCCAGCCAACAACGTGCCTAATGATCACGCCAGCCTCCCTCCCCATATACCACCGTCTGCATTTCTTCCTCTTTTGACATAAGGAGTAGATCACCTATTGTCCCTACGTGCTACTACATTGATAAAATGTAACATACACACAACTTCCACCCTCCTTACCATTTCCCGCTCATGCGCATTAGGTCCCCCCTAAGGGGTGACATCAGCAGAGAGTGAGGCCGGGCCTGAACCAGCACAGAAGGGCAACGACACTGGAATCAAGAAAGTGACAGAAAGAGTTTTTAACCCCTTCTGCATCAATGGGGTGAGGGTGAGCACTCTAGGGAGCTATAGTGTCAGGAAAACAACTTTGTTTTCCGGGCACTATTGTTTCACTTTAATATAGAGTAACTGTTGACTAGGGTGACGAACATGAGACCCTAACTATATGCCTCACACCTAGTCCTGCAACGATGCCCTCGTGTTTCTGCCCAAGCACAGGCATAATGGACCGCATATTGGATCTTTGACCCAGCACCTCATATAGATGCTCTGGTCAACTTGAGGGGGGAAGCAGTCCAGCCAAAGCTTCTCCCGTCCTCCATCTCGGCATCATGTTGGAGCTGCACTCTCTCGCATGAGAGAGAAATAGAACAAAACTCTCACTCAACAGGGCAGTAGTGATGCCAGGCCGAATAAACCAACAGCAGCCACAGGAGAATCGAAAACTAAACCGGGCAGAGTGGCGACCTCGGCTAAGCAGACCTCGCACCAGGCAAACGTCTGCGCTGCACCCACAAGGATGTCCACCAAAAATTCAGGGTGGGAATACCTGCAGAGGTAAAAGCAAAGAGAGACTGGCAGACTGAAAGGGCCCTCAATAAGGTATGAAGAGGCCCCTCCCTCCTGCCACTCTAATCAGTTTCACTCCCCTAAAATTAGACAACACATTGATGTGTTACGTGCCCACTAGGAGGCCCTCCACTACCATTGTTTCTCTTTATCTCTGAACCATTTTTAAACTGGTTTCTTTTCTGGATGGCTATCTACCTTAATGTCACTAACACCTATTTTATGCCAAACATACCCATTTATAGCCCTATGCCCTCAAAACGAGTTCCTTCTTAGTGTGAGTGTCCTCACAGTACTCTAATTCACCCTTTCTATAACTGCTCCCTCTATCATTATAAATCATTTTTAATTTCTAAGATCTCTCAATGCTATTCACTTTAAAGGGACACTATAGTCACAACAACTTTAGCTTAATGAAGCAGTTTTGGTGTATAGAACATGCCCCTGCAGTCTCACTGCTCAATCCTCTGCCATTCAGGAGTTAAATCACGTTTGTTTCTGTTTATTCAGCCCTAGCCACACCTCCCGTGGTTGTGATCGACACAGCCTGCATGAAAAAAGACTGATTTAATTTTCAATCAGACATAATGTACTTTAAAAGTTTGTATCTTCTGCTCTGTAAATTGAACTCTAATTATATACAGGAGGCTCATGTAGGGTCAAGCAAGCTATTAACAGAGCACAAGATATGAAATTATACATTAAACAGAACTTGCAATAAAGGAAGTATAAACATTAGATGACTCTTTACAGGAAGTGTAGGAAGGATTTGTAAGTCACATGCAGGGAGGAGTGCCTAGGGCTGCATAAACAAAGTGAATTAACTCCTAAAATGGCAGATAATTAAGCAACAAGACAGCAAGGGGCATAACCTATACATGAAAACTTCTTAATGAAGCTGAAGTTATTTTGTGACTATAGTGTACCTTTAATGTTTCTCAGAACACATTACATGCACATAACTAGACATTAGAACACAAGGATAGAACCTTGCCCTCGTCATCTTACAATTCAGCCGAGGGCGAGGGTGGTAGTGATAGACAGTCACGGGATGGATGATAAGGAAAACAGAGTGTGAGAAGCAGTTCTGTCATATTACACATGCATGTTAACATGTAGCACAGTGGGAATATGGTGTGAGTGACGTCACCCAACATGCAATACAGGACTAAAAGGAAGATCTGCCTGATATATATACATACATATAATACTTAGCTCATTAGTGCATTATTATTATAATTTATAATATAATTTCAATGATATAATGTAGAGCATGGGGGGGGGGGAGAAATAATGCTGGAGGAGACAGAAGACTTGGGGAGACACAAGGCTGGGACTCTGACAGAAGACTTGGGGAGTCACAAGGCTGGGACTCTGACAGAAGACTTGGGGAGTCACAAGGCTGGGACTCTGACAGAAGACTTGGGGAGACACAAGACTGGAACTCTGACAGAAGACTTGGGGAGACACTGGGCTGGGACTCTGACAGAAGACTTGGTGAGACACTAGGCTGGGACTCTGACCGAAGACTTGGGGAGACACAAGGCTGGGACTCTGACAGAAGACTTGGGGAGACACTAGGCTGGGACTCTGACAGAAGACTTGGGGAGACACTAGGCTGGGACTCTGACAGAAGACTTGGGGAGACACAAGGCTGGGACTCTGACAGAAGACTTGGGGAGACACAAGACTGGAACTCTGACAGAAGACTTGGGGAGACACAAGGCTGGGACTCTGACAGAAGACTTGGGGAGACACTAGGCTGGGACTCTGACAGAAGACTTGGGGAGACACAAGGCTGGGACTCTGACAGAAGACTTGGGGAGACACAAGACTGGAACTCTGACAGAAGACTTGGGGAGACACAAGGCTGGGACTCTGACAGAAGACTTGGGGAGACACAAGGCTGGGACTCTGACAGAAGACTTGGGGAGACACTAGGCTGGGACTCTGACAGAAGACTTGGGGAGACACAAGGCTGGGACTCTGACAGTTGGGGCACCTGAGCACACAAAATCTGTGACACAGTAATCATGCACAACAAACTGAGGACAGAAGCACACAAATCTGAAGGACACAGACACACGAAGCTGCTGGACATAGACACAAAAATCGGAGCATACAGACACACAAAACAGGGAGATATGAAGACCCATAGCAGGTAGACATGGACTTGATACAAGCAAAACCCTTGCACACATTTACATAATGACAATAAACACAGTTACACAATTCTACACACACTAAACTACAATTGAAAATTTAAACACATCACTGGAAAAGCAACTGAGTCAGAGAATTTTAGGTTATTTTGGCCATCATTCTGAAATCTTTTTTTCTTTATATTAGTTACATAGCAGAAAAGAGACGGGTCCATCAAGTTCAGCCTTCCTTACATATGTTTATGCTGTTGATCCAAAAGAACGCCAAAAAACACAGTTTGAAGCACTTCCAATTTTTCTTATATAAAACCACATGGTATAATGTCTGCTTTCTCAGTGTGGTGCGTGATTATTTTAGTAAATGTCTGTGCTCCCCCATTTCCTTGGCTTTCTACACCTGGTTATAATATAGTGTTTAGTGAATAAGCCCAGTGCATTTGTATATATTGTCTATGATGCAGGTGAGGATGTGACACAGCCTGCTGCTGGGTCCATTGAGTGACCAATCTGAAACGCATGGGCGAGGGGAGGCAATTTTCACATGGTTTTAAGTTACGTCTCTGGGTAAGAGGCCTTCGCCTACAGTGTGACTACACTTCCCTTCAAAAAGACAACCCCCTAATATGTTATGTGCCCACTAGGGGCCCATAATGACAATACACGCAGATACACAACTCTACACAAACTAAACTATAAATGAAAATTCAAACACATGCGTTTACACTAAACACACATACAATTACAAATGCATTAAACTGTGAATGGTGGAAAATATAAATAATAGGTTATTTTGACCAAAATGTTGAAATCCAGATTTCTTTATGTTAAATAATGCAGTGTGTCTTGCTTTATATTTTTTTAATAATATTTCTCATGGTATGATAGCTGCTTTCTCGATAAGCAAGGTGGGGGGGTGATTATTTTAGTAAATGTATGTGTTTCCCCATTTCTTTGCCTTTCTACGCCCGTGTTTCCTGGTAACTAGAAATGTAACTCTGAGAAATAAAGTTTTAAACCCCTTCCTCAGGAAAGGTGGGAACCTTTATTCGACAGCAAAACCACTCATTTCTTACCACAAAGTTCAATCATTTTTATGAGTTAAATTAAATATCATTAAAGCAATGTGTATCTTGTAATACCTTTTTTATTGGACTAACAGAATTTGCTTATGACAAGCTTTCGGGAGAACCTCCCTTTCTCAAATCTAATTCTCTAAAGAGAAAAGCTTTAGACTTGAGAGAGGAAGGTTCTCACAAAAGCTTGTCGTCATTAAAAAATTCTGTTAGTCCAATAAAGAAGGTATTACAAGATACACATTTCATCTATTATTTTACATCTACATCACTGGACTAATACTGCTACAATCTCTACTTGAACATTAGTTCAATAGTCATCAATAGGGATTCTGATTACTGTCAGCTTTGTAGTAAGCTGACAACATATTGTTTAGAGACCAGAGACAGAAATCTAGTTTGTTACCAGCAAGGCTGTTACTTTATTTGTGGAAACTCCCCGCTCCATCACCCCTACCCCCTTACACACATCTTGCTTGGCAGTGATTTATTTCTGAGAAAGCGTGTGATGTGACCTATACTTGCTGCAAGGATTAAAACTTCTGGCATTACATACAGGGTTATACAGGGTTATTTAATAAAGTGAGAATTGTGAAGTAAATTTCAAATTCAAGGTGAAAACAGCTGAATTGGTAAAAATCTTGGGTTATTCACAAAGGTCCCATTACACCAGATTTTCTCAGAATTTGCCGTTTTTGGACATTTACTAATGCTGAATGCAATATGCACTGTCTTTTGTACAATACTGTAACAGGTTTCAAATCTATAATTCTCATTTGTATAGGATTTGCACATTTATCGTACACTGAATATTTACTAGATATTGCCTGAAATCGGACAAATCTTCCAAACAGATTCACCTGCAGGCACATTTATTATTTTTGACAGGTTAAGTGTACATATAGGACAGCTCATTTTTGTTTTATAAGAAAGTAAAGACATTAAGAGCATGGTGCACATTTGAGCGGTCACCATATTAATAAAACTCTTACATATTATATGCACCACAGTCAATAGAATATTCAATTACTGTAGAAACTAATAAGATTTGGTAAAACAGTGTGCTCAGTTTTTCAATCCTGCAGTCAGTTTAACAACTAGCAGGTATAGCTGGCGTGATTTATGATGCAGGGATCATGGTGGTATCGCAGGTTTACCCTAAGGTAATGATATGAGCACATGTGGTCGTTTGAGTTTCAGTTAACGCTTGAGGACACTGGACCCCGGAGCGTGCTAGCGCTAATGCAGGGGTACTCCGCACTAGGAATAGTGTTTGTCTAAGTAAGAAATATAAGGGAACATAATAAACATAATGAAAAAACTGATAGCAGAAAACTGGAAATATAAAGGGATCTGAGTATGCAGCTGCTGCCGCTGCCTGAGCAAGCCTCGGGATATAGGTGCAGTCCCAGGATCATCCGATGCCTGCCTGCGGCAGGGTTGATGAGTGTGCAGGAGCTTGTATGAGGGCTGGCATCCCTTGTTTGCAGGCTTGGACCCTCTCAGGTACCAAGGTTATCTTCCCTCTGGGGCAAGCAGGGGGTCTGGACGGTCGCATTCGCCATCTTGATTACCCATTGTGGGCTATGTGTTGCTTAATTTCCACATGGAGTACAGAGTAGATAAGGCAGTTAGCTCTGGTGTCCAGTGGGGACCGTGATATCCCCCGCCGATGCAGTGGGGGCTGGGCGATAGGAGTATAGCTGAGCTAAACCAGGGTCTGAGGAGTGAGATCAGCCACCTCTCCCCAGCTCCGTCCCCAGTAGGCCGCAGCAGAGAGACACGGATTCCAGGTGGGGTAGAAACACCGCTCGAGTGTCAGGATAGTCAGCAGGAATCCCTAGACTCGGATAGTGCCCTTCCTTGGACGTAGCTGTTCTTTAACCAAGGGATATCACCTCAGATGTAGTAAAACTTTCAGGATCTCAGGCACACCACGTCTGCTCTGCATGGAAGCCTGGCTCCGCCCCCCACCTGCGGGTAAATGTATTCAAATCCAGACAATTTGCCCCCCGACAATCTGATCAGCCAGCTGGCAAATGTTTAGAAACCCCAGGGCAAGATGTGATGGTCGCGAGTTGATGGTTTGCAGTGACAAAAATGGGAACAGATGTGGGATAGTAAAAAATGCACTTACACTCTATGGAACTACTAATTAGCTCTAACTTTTGCGATTGTACATATTCTATACATTCCATAAAGCGTTTTGTGCGTGCACAGGGCTGGTACAAGTATTTTTGGCTACACAGGAAAAGTTGCATTTTGCGCCTCCTACCAACCCCCCCCCCCCAAAAAAAATGCATCTTTACCTCTTTGCACATTGAGGTGGAATCATATCTACAGATTAAACAGACACTATAGACACCCAGACCAATTCATCTCATTGTGCTCTGTGTGTGGTCAAGTGGTCTGGGAGCAGTGTACCTGTACCCTTAAACCAGTTGCTGAAAACAATGCGATTTTAGAGAAGCTGCAATGTTTATATATCTCTCCCACACAGCCACTAGAGGTGGTTCCTGCATACACACAGAGATTAACTACGTAAAATGACGCTGGACATCCTCAAGCTTTTCATGAAGATGTCCTTCGTCTTGAAAAACTCCATAGGAAAGCATTTTTTCAATGCTTTACTATGGGGAAAGCCTATTGCGTGCAACGTTTTTATTGGTAACATTAGTGTTCTTTTAAGGTCTATTGCCATCTACTTGTAACACACAATGTATACATTTCATGGCTTCAGTTATGATTTAATATAGGATTCTGATTATGCTATAAAGTTTGAGTGACAGGTACTGTGTGTTTTTGACGTATTTGAGCCACAAGGAGTAATTTATTGTAAGCGCATGTGATTTCTAGGTTTGCTTCCGGACTTCCCTTTTATGCATCATTTTTAATTTTTTTTGCAATGTCATTCACAAACTTTCACTTCACAATTGGGAACATTAAAAACAAAAACAAAAAGTAAACATAATTATTCTTTTCTGCACCCTTTATAAAGAGGCAAAATTCTATTTTCACCCCAAGAATGATGCTTTTATTTATACATGACAAAACCTTACTGGCCGTAGCCACTGTTGATTGACATTGCATATTGCTGCCTAATTTCTTGTCTATAAAAATTCCCAAATCCTTCTTGTGTGTTGTTATCCATAATGCACTACCATTTAGGGTGTAAGTTGCTTGAGCACTTTTTTTGTGCATTTCTCTACGTAAAATTTCAGCTGCCATTTGAGTGCCCAGCCCCTCAATCTATCTAAATCCCTCTGCAACAAAGTAACAACCTGCTCACATTGTATTACTTTACAGCGTTTTGTGTCATCTGCATCTTACCACCTCTGTCCAGCTTGAAAAGGGTTTAAGGGGCTTTCTGATAGGCTTCTATAAAGACAGTTTTGCAGAGATGGTGAGAGTCAAATGTGACGGGGGAGGACACTCCACACATTTACATCTCACAATGCGGGAGGACACTCCACACACTCACATCTCACAATGCGGGAGGACACTCCACACACTTACATCTCACACTGCGAGAGGACAATCCACACTTACATCTCACAATGCGGGAGGACACTCCACACACTTACATCTCACAATGTGGGAGGTCACTCCACACACTCACATCTCACAATGCGGGAGGACACTCCACACACTTACATGTCACAATGTGGGAGGTCACTCCACACACTTACATCTCACACTGCGAGAGGACAATCCACACTTACATCTCACACTGCGAGAGGACAATCCACACTTACATCTCACAATGTGGGAGGTCACTCCACACACTTACATCTCACACTGTGAGAGGACAATCCACACACTTACATCTCACAATGCGGGAGGTCACTCCGCACACTTACATCTCACAATGCGGGAGGTCACTCCACACACTCACATCTCACAATGCGGGAGGTCACTCCGCACACTTACATCTCACAATGTGGGAGGACACTCCACACACTCACATCTCACAATGCGGGAGGACACTCCACACACTTACATGTCACAATGTGGGAGGTCACTCCACACACTTACATCTCACACTGCGAGAGGACAATCCACACTTACATCTCACACTGCGAGAGGACAATCCACACTTACATCTCACAATGTGGGAGGTCACTCCACACACTTACATCTCACACTGTGAGAGGACAATCCACACACTTACATCTCACAATGCGGGAGGTCACTCCGCACACTTACATCTCACAATGCGGGAGGTCACTCCACACACTCACATCTCACAATGCGGGAGGTCACTCCGCACACTTACATCTCACAATGCGGGAGGTCACTCAGCACACTTACATCTCACACTGCGAGAGGACAATCCACACTTACATCTCACAATGTGGGAGGTCACTCCACACACTTACATCTCACACTGTGAGAGGACAATCCACACACTTACATCTCACAATGCGGGAGGTCACTCCGCACACTTACATCTCACAATGCGGGAGGTCACTCAGCACACTTACATCTCACACTGCGAGAGGACAATCCACACTTACATCTCACAATGTGGGAGGTCACTCCACACACTTACATCTCACACTGTGAGAGGACAATCCACACACTTACATCTCACAATGCGGGAGGTCACTCCGCACACTTACATCTCACAATGCGGGAGGTCACTCAGCACACTTACATATCACAATGCGGGAGGTCATTGCACTCGACGACACAACACCGCTGTAAGCGTTTGTGGACTTAAGATGGCCGCCGCCTCGTGTTCGGCCATACCAATGACGGCCACCCAGCTGACCACTTAGAATGTTACTAGTTTGTGGTTTCTGCAAGTGTGGAAAACTGTCATGTAGGTTAATAGGCGACACACACGACAGTTCTGGGTGGTCTGACCGTTCGGTTATTTGTTCGGTATACGAACTGGGTAGGTTTTAAGTGTTCAGTTAGTTTGTATACCAAGTAATTCAAGGCAGTACAATTAAAATAAACAGAGCATTTTTAACAGGGTGCATCCGTCACAGTGGTATTTTGCAAGGTTATAACGGCACAATTCCAACTGCCACTTTTCACTTTCATAAGGGTTAAAGATTAGTAAGATATAACATTTAGGCAACTATCAGCTTTTCTAGTTCAGGTACCCCTTGTCAGGATTACTATATGATCCAGCATGTGGAATTGTGTGACACAGGCGACTAATAGGTAAAGTATGAATGGCCGGACTAACGCACCAAAGGATAGTCAGAGTAATAGCCAAGGTCAGGGGACACAGAAAGGGACACAACAATAAAGGAAAGCCAGAGGTCAGGGATACCAGAAAACAGGGGAGTCAAAATAAAAGCCAAAGTAAAAAAATGGAATAACTAGAATAAGGAACACGCTCTCGGACAACTACTAGGGAAACCACAACAGGGCAATGAGGAAAGGTAATTCTGGGCTTTTATACCTGCTTTACCTTTCTGATTGGCCGTGATCACTCTTTGACCCCAAAACGTGCGCACCCGGGGTGTGCTCGACGTGACGTGCATGCCGACGTCGTCAGTTACTTGAGCGAGCATGGGGGTATAATTAGCCTTGGAACCACAGCGGCTGGCATCCATTAACATGCCGCAAGTGTCATTCATGCAGATGCACGGCCGCTGAACGCATGGTGAGGATGAATATGTTACACCCCTCCACCGTCAGCTGCCACAGTCTTCCCAATGGCATGAGCATTGAATTGTGTAGAGCTCAGCCGGGTTGAGCAGTTTGGGAAAACAAAGAGTTAATCCTGTGTGAGAAATAGACTGTTCACTGTACTGTAATCATGGGGTAGTGTAAGTCCCAAGTAGGAGGGAACGAAAGTTTGGCATTACAGGAGGCTGCGTGTCCTAGGCCTCATGTCCCAGAGAGTCCCCTTTAACCTATGCCTTCAAGAGTTTCTGTCCAGCTTTGTATCCCGCAGAGGGACTCACCCTTCCCAACTGTGAAGCCCGAGTGCCTCATAGACATGCTCTTCTGCTTGCTTAGGTGTTGGCAAATTTCAAACCTTCCAGGGATGCTTGCCGGTGCTGTGTGGGTCCTTCTCGGATAGGGGTGCAGACTCCTCCCGGCTCTTGTAGCAAGCTGCTCTTTGGTTGACGGCGGGAGAGAGCGTTGTCTTTAGCGTCATTTTTTGTCATGCTTGGCTTGGATGGGCGAGCCATCCGGACTGGAGTGGTAGGGTGGTGCCATGGGTGAGTGTGTGTGATACTCAGTCGGTCATCTAGTTTTTTCCAGAACGCTTCAAATGCAGCATCTAGCTGCGCCAGGATGTTGGTCTCCTGTGTAGTATCAGATGGCCACGGGTGTATTCTCCGTTCTCCAGTTCACAAGTCATACCATTGGAGTGGCCTTCCCGGTGAAATCTAATATTGGATGTCACATGGACTTTGTAATTTATTTATTGCAGTGTCCGTGTGGCAAACAATATGTGGGAAGGACAAAAAGACTTTTAAAAGTACGTTTAATGGAACATGTTAATAATATAAGGAAGGGCATCACAACCCATTCAGTGCCAGTGCACTGTAATACATGTCCGGCCTTCAACTGGAGAGATTTTATAGGCTGTGGTATAGAACATCTATCCTCCCATTGGAGAGGAAGTAATAGGGAATTAAAATTAGCACAACGTGAAACTTATTGAATTTATAAATTGGATACTTTAGAACCGAAGGGATTAAACATAGACGTTGATTTGGCTAGTTTTATGGTAGAAAAATAAGAGAAAGAAAAGGAGAGAAGGAAAAAGAGAAAAAAAGGGAAAAACTATTTACATATAGATGTATTGTTCCTGAGGGGGACTTCCATTTTTTTGTCAAGATGATCTATGTAATTTTTATTTTTTATTTTTATTTTTAACGATATATATAAATATTTTTTTTTCAGATATAAATTTTGTACCTTTCATTTTTCTTTTTCTCATTCAGATATAAATTTTGCATTTCTTTCCTTCTTGTACATACTTGGATCACACTTGGCAAGGGATTGAATTCCCCCTATATTGTTAATTGTCGTTTTTTACTGTTATATATGCCAGAATGCTATATATGGTATAGAGTTTCTGATTATGTTATTATTATAAGATTTTTTATTTAGTCCACCAAGTTGTAAGATATTCTGCCATTTGGAACGCATATGTTTGAAGTCATGGAACACTATTTTCAGCGCCCAAGACTTCTGTTTACATCCACAACCAGAAATACGTATTTGGAACGCAACCGGAAGTACGTGTTTGGAACGCATAGCAATGGAACGCAAACGGACCGGCGATCACAGAATTTTGCCGCGATTTTTCAAATCTTACTACCAGCTGCAAGGAATATTCCTTGATTAAAGAGAGAGAAGGTTTCCCAGGCGTTCCTATACGATCTTTCTCCAATGGTTCTATTTAAAGGGACTTTGTTGGGGGTGGGAATTATGCATGCTTTGATTTTTTATTGTATTACTGCCTATATTGTGTTATTATCTCTGACGAAGTCCACTATATGTGGAAGAAACGAGTTAGATTGCAGATAAATTTTACTTATTTCTATTCTATTTTTTACTAAGGCTTTGTATTGCCTTAATAAATATATTTTTATTTAAATTGGCGTATTCCCACTTCATTTGAAGACAGAAGTCCCTGTCTGTGGAAGGTGAACACCTCTCCAGCCCCATTGTGGGCTTAAAGGCGCACTACTCTACACTATTTCGTGAGTGCAACCATTGGGGGTTATATCCAATTGCAATTATTGTACTTCACTATGTGCTATGTATTTTTTTGTTTTTTTGTTATTCAGCTGTATTCCATTTTTGTTTATTCGCGTATTCTCCGCCATATTGGAGTCAGCTTGCCTCTGTTGGGGTTGCTGTCACAGCCTCTGGATGGGCCCACCTGGGGGGGACGGAACGAGAGCCCACAATCAGGCTTGTAGCCATTGAAGTCGACAGTGGCACTCTCCTCTGCGCCGATCATGCTTGAGGAGTGTTTCAGTGACTCCTGCTTACTGTGCCACGTTTGGTATCTGCAGGTAGCCCTCGGTTTCACCTTTCCGTAAGGTGCTTGTGTGAGGAGATGGAGATACTTTGTAACCCAGGAGATTTGCATGTAGGAGCATCCTCTCGGCTCAGCGGTCAGGCCCCGCCCTCCGGCAGTTTTTGTTTTTTTTAATACAGTTTTTTACTCATTTGTTGCACTTATTTATTTGGGACTAAGAGTGGCTGTGTATTTTCATTTGTCACAGCCACCCTTAGTACCATCTGATGGATACCCTTTGTACCCAAGGTGCCCATCTACCCACACAGACACTGTCAGTATGCAGAATTAATTTACTAGATATCAATTAAAAGAGGCGTAGAATACACTGGTGGAGCTATTGTTGAGAGGGCCCTCATGTAGTACATACTTTGGACCCCCTCTAGTTCAAGTGTGGCCAAAAGGTAGATGGGTATTTACCATTTGCCCATCCTTGCAGGGTTGTATTTGTGAGCAGTGTTTGAGCGTTTGAATGTAAGCATGTTTTTGTATAGAGTATATGTGTAGCTGTAGGGGTGCATTTGTATGTACTGTTATTATTGCAATACAGTGGTATACTTGTGTGTAGTGTTTACACCCTGTTCCAAATGATTATGCAAATTCTATTTAAGTGTCACAAAGATTAAATATTTTGTTTTTCAGTTTAACTCATGGATGGCATTGTGTCTCAGGGCTCTTTTGATCACTGAAAACAATCTCGGACAACTGTGATAATTAGATTGCCAGGTGAGCCCAATTTAAGGAAAAACTACTAAAGGAGGGTGTTCCACATGATTAAGCAGAGCACCATTTTCATGCAATATGGGGAAGAAAAAGGATCTCTCTGCTGCTGAAAAGAGTGAAATAGTTCAATGCCTTGGACGAGGTATGAAAACATTAGATATTTCACGAAAATTTAAGCGTGATCATTGCACTATTAAGAGATTTGTGACTGATTTAGAGCACAGACAGTTCGTGCAGATAAAGGCACATTGAGGAAGATTTCTGCCAGATCCATGCATCGGATCAAGAGAGCAGCTGCTAAAATACCATTACATAGCAGCAAACAGATATTTGAAGCTGCTGGTGCCTCTGGGGTCCCACAGACATCAAGGTGTAGAGTCTTGCAACTGTGCATAAACCTTCTATTCGGCCACCACTAACCAATGCTCACGAGCAGAAACAGCTGCACTGAGCATAAAAATACATGAAGATAAATTTTCAAACAGTCCTTTTCACTGATGAGTGCCGTGCAACCCTGGATGGTCCAGATGGATGGAGTAGTGGATGGTTGATGGACGGCCACCCTGTTCCAACAAGGCTGCGACGTCAGCAAGGCGGTGGTGGAGTCATGTTTTGGGCCAGAATCATGGGAAGAGAGCTGGTCGGCCCCTTTAGGGTCCCCAAAGGTGTAAAGATGACCTTTGCAAAGTATGTGGAGTTTCTGACTGACCACTTTCTTCTTTGGTACAGAAGGAAGACCTATGCTGCAAAGAATACCTCTGCATCAATGGCTACTATGGGGCTAAAAGGAGAGAAAGTCATGGTGTGGCCTCCATCCTCCCCTGACCTCAATCCTATTGAGAACCTTTGGAGCATCCTCAAGCAAAAGATCTATGAGGGTTGGAGGCAGTTTACATCCAAACAGCAGCTCTGGGAGGCTATTCTGACATCTTGCAAACAAATTCAAGCAGAAACTGTCCAAAAACTAACAAGTACAATGGATGCAAGACTTGTAAAGCTGCTATCAAATAAGGGGTCCTATGTTAAAATGTAACGTGACCTGTTAAAATGTTTAAAAAGTTAAAATGTTGTTATAAGTTTGATTGAAATAGCTTTTGATTTCAGTAAATGTGCTGCAAACACAACAAATGAAAATTTTCAGTTCTTTACAACCTATAAAGTGTTTTGAAACTTACTGTGCGTAATAATTTGGAACAGTCCATAGTAAGTTTTTTATGTTTAACCCCTTAAGGACTGGACTGTTTTTGCGATGTTGTACATTTGCGACCAGGCATATTTTTACACTTTTGTGGTGTTTGTGTTTGGCTGTAATTTTCCGCTTTCTCATTTACTGTTCCCATACAAATTATATATAGTTTTTTTTAGGACAAAAGGGGCTTTCTTTACATACCATTATTTATATAATCTCATGTATTTTAATTTAAAAAAAATAAAAAAATCTGATGAAAAATTGAAAAAAATACATGTTTTTTGACTTTTACTTGAAAAATCTTTTACTCATCTACAAAAGCGAATGAAAAAAACTGCTAAATAGATTCAAAATTTTGTCCTGAGTTTAAAAATACCTAGTGTTTACGTGCTTTTTTGCTTTTTTTTGCATGTTATAGGGCTATAGGTACAAGTAGGATATTGCGGTTTCAAAACATACATTTTTAAAATTTATCAATAGTGACATTGTAACACTATTATCTGTCATAAATCTCTGAATAACACCCCACATGTACATATTTTTTTTAAAGTAGACAACCCAGGGTATTCAATATGGGGTATGTCCAGTCTTTTTTAGTAGCCACTTAGTCGAAAACACTGGCCAAAGTAAGCATTCATATTTGTTTGTGTGTGAAAAAAGTAAAAAACTAAATTGAACGCTAATTTTGTGTTTGTGACAAGTGGTTACTAAAAAAGACTGGACATACCCCATTTGCAATACCTTGGGTTGTCTTCTTTTGCAAATGGTATGCCATCATGGGGGTAATTCTCATTCCTGGGCTACCATACGCTCTCAAAGGCAACGTAACCAACCTGGCCATTTTCAATGTAAAAATATTTGACCCATATATTTGACCTTGTAACTTTCAAAAATGCTATAAAACCTGTACATGGGGGGTACTGTTTTACTCAGGAGACTTTGCTGAACACAAATATTAGTGTTTAAAACTGGAAAACGTATCACAACAATTATATCATCAGTAAAAGTGCTGTTTGTGTGTGAAAAATGCAAAAAAAGTAACTTTCACTGACAATATCATCACTGTGATATGTTTTACTGTTTTGAATCACTAATATTTGTGTTCAGCGAAGTCTCCCGAGTAAAACAGTACCCCCCATGTACAGGTTTTAGGGTGTCGTAGAACGTTACAGGGTAAAATACAGTGCTAGCAAATTAAATTCTCTGGAATTTCGGCCTGGGTTGGCAGGCAGGTCCCTCAAATTGCAATCAATAAAATTACTGAATTATGTAAAAATATTACATAAATACGCACGTAGAATTTAAATATATATGCATATTTATATATTTGAAGTCTACGTGTATATTTATATAATTATTTATGTAATTTTGTATATGGACGTATGTATATTTCTTATTATTTTTATTTATTTTTATATACATAGATATATATACAAATTCATTCTAAGTGTATTTTGATATAAATATATATATATTAATTTTAAAATACAGTTAGAATAAAATTTCATATAGCTATATAATTTTTTTAAATTTTTTATTATTATTTAAAAAAAAATTATTTAATTTAAATTACTTATTATTTATATTTTATAATAATATATATATACAATATATATAGTTATTATATATATTATATATATACGTGTGTAATTTAATTATAAGTGTATTTTTATATTAATATAAGTACATATTAATATAAAAATACACTTAGTATGACATTATATATATATGATATATAGACATATATTATATAGATATAATATATGTCTATATATCATATATACACATATATAATTATTTTATTTTTTTAATTAACACTAACTTTATTTTTTTTATTGATTTTACACTAGCAGGGAGACTGCCTGTCAGCACAGGCAGTCCCCCTGCAGGCAGACACATGGACACCTATTGTGACCATGTGATCACTGTGTTAAGCGATCACATGGCCACAGGGGTCCTAATCAGTGTGGGGAGACTGTCTGGGCTGCAGGCAGTCTCCCCACAACCGGAGCCACGCTGATCGCCGCCGGGGGAACGACGGCGATCAGGTAAGTAGCTCTGACCGTTAGGACGGTTCAGGACCGTCATCGGTCCTCAAGGCAAAAATGCCGATGACGGTCCTGAACCGTCCTCGGTCCTTAAGGGGTTAAAAAAAATACTGTTATCATTAGGATGTTTGTTCAATAAAATTTGAATTGTACTCTTAATAGTTGATAACATGAGAATTATGCTGACTGTTATTTACATCAATTATTTAGGTAAATGAGAAAAATATAATTTGCATAATAATTTTGAACAGGGTGTATGTTTGAATGCAGAGGTGTGTTTGTATATAGTGTTGGCTTTTACATACACATTGACACATGCAGATACACACATAGAAATATCAAGTTTAGAGGAAAGCGAAAGCTAAAGGGTAACACTCTGTTCTGGGGGTAACCCAGGTAGCTTAAGAATTGTATAAGAAAGTGAAATTGAGTGCCCTATTAAAACTTAACTTTTATTGTAAATACAAATATTAAAATGAACTTGTCAAAACAAGTATTCTGGTGCAAACGTGCTCAAAAATAAAGAACAAAAAAGGAAACCAAGTCTATATACAAAGCGTGAAACTTTTTTTCAGTGTTGTAGTCTCACTTGTAAATACAGTGTATCGTTATGTCCTTGTGACGGATCCCCTGGCAACCCGACTGGGCACTTCCGCCAACAGACGCTTCCTAGCCGACGCTGAGGACCATACGCACCGCAGACTCCACAACCACTGTAGCTTAACTGGAATATCGGCATCTTCCTTCCACCCTGAACCAACCTCTGACATCCAGGACCGTGTGGGAAAGACCTCTCCTACTCCAGAGAGTGTAGCAGGAACAGCTCTTACAAGAGCTAGTAGTGATATAGCAGTTCCCCTCCAATCATGAGACCAAGCTACGTGTTGAGGGTAAAACAGGAATTCAATTTTAATGGAGGCACACTGGCATTTTATGCAAGTTACCCCAAGAAAGGTGACGCACAGGTGGACCATGTTGGGCACAGGGACACAAAATGTACAAGCCAATAAAAACAATGTGACAATGAATGACACACCCACATACAGTACACAATCCCTCCTCTCTGTCTCGGAGATAATTAAGGCAGATAACGCATTAACTTAATTATCCCCAGGCAGAAAAAAACAGAAATTTTTATAAAGTACCATAAGTGCCCCAAGAGAGCGCATGGTAGAATTAGAATTACCCCCATGATGGCATACCATTTGCAAAAGAAGACATCCGAAGGTATTGCAAATGGGGTATGTTCAGTGTTTTTTAGTAGCCACTTAGTCACAAACACTGGCCAAAGTTAGCTTTCATAATAGTTTTTTGCATTTTTAACACACAAACATATATAAATGCTAACTTTGGCCAGTTGTTTTTTTACTAAGTGGCTACTAAAAAAGACTGGACATACCCCATATTGAATACCCTGGGTTGTCTTTTCAAACTTACTTTTCAAATCTATATGGTTTCTGGGGGTAAATCAACAAATTCAAAATTTCAAATTCAAAAATGCACACCCTCCAAATAAGGTCTTTTAGCCCCCAGAGAACCCGACACACCTATGCATGGGTGGTATCACTGTACTCAGGAGATGTTGCCGAACACATATTGGGGTGTTCTTTGGCAGTAACCCTTAAAGTTCTCAGTACATATATTCTTAAATTGCTATGTGTGTCAAGAAAATCACCAATTATTTTTTGTTACATTTGGCATAGATTGGTGGTAAAATGGTTGCATGAAAAGAGTCAAAATACCCCGAGTTTAATACCTTAGGTTGT